TTTTTAGCTTGACGATTTGTGAACGCTTTACAGCCCTGTTTGAAATTTCACTTAATTCAGAATCAGCAAATTTTGCAGCTATTTTCAGTAGAAGGTCATTTTCTCAACCTAGCAAACAGGATAGGATATACCAACTTTTCGATGAAGGTAGTATTAACCATTGTGAGGTTGAAGGCTGAGAATACAGCCGTAGGTAGCAGGGTATCAAAAATGGTTCAGAGCAAATCTTATAGAGGACACAGACGTGACTCCTCGCAAATTTCAGTCATCTTCCTAGAACTTGTCGTCACTGAAGTAGCGTGGGTAGGTGCATGACGCCCACCTACCTGCCCACCAAAACCATCGCATCACTGGTTTTCAAATTTTTTCTCTCCAATCTTATTTGCTATTCAACATTTCTTAGATTCCAATACAGGCGATTCTTGGTTTGCTTAATTCATGACTGTCACGCAGCCATCTTTTACTCCTTCTTCAAGAATTGGCTCCTCCCCTGATCATGCCATTCATTGCATTCCATGGATCTCCTCGGATGGTTCCTAGTGAAACTGCTATATGGCCGCGATTGTGCAGTAACGGGGCAGTCTCTTCTTCTTGGCTTTGAATGAGGACTTCACTATGAAATTCATCGATCTTGAAAAAAGGCGCTACTCGGTGCTCTATCGCCTCATAGACCTGGCATGCACTACTACTGCTTTTCTGGTGTCCATCAGTTTGTCTTCTCGTGACTGCACGTTTCTTAATCTCTCTTATTATGTAAAATTATGGTGTCCATAATTCTCATGATCATCTCAAATTAAGTTGGTTCAGTAACGATCTTTCCGCCGAAGAAAAATCGCTTCCGGTGTTATTAGGTGTACTTCTCGTTAAAGCAATCTCTAGCACATGCTGTACCAGAGGATACACCTCAGCTGTGTTTATCCAATGTACACCAAGTGGTCTATGTTTCGATATTTCTCGTTTCTAAAACGGCAAGAGTCTTCTACCTACTCGTCAGTATGCTCTTCAATTCGTCAATCCTCGAAAGGAAGAGGAAGAAGCTGAAAACTGGTTTTCTTGAAGTCTTGGAGTGGCCTGTGCATTAAATGCCCATGAAGAGTGCGCAACATCACCTTGGAGCTGTTGAACATGTTACTAATCAGTGTATTCGCTTCTTTAGGGATGATCCTCTCCTTCTTTTTCCTTTAAAGAGAAAGTAAAGAGCTCTGAGCAGCGCTGCTCTCCTACGATCTGGCCTTGCTGTCATCCGCAGTGAGCTACCCTCTGAGCAACAGTTGCTCTCCTACGATCTGGCCTTGCTGACATCCACA